AAATGATAAAAAGGAAAGTTAAAATTATATTTACAATTCATAGACAAAATAGATCAAATTAAGTATAAATGATGAAATTAATAAGCCATGTTGATAGCAGGATTTTACATGTTACATAATAATTTCAGATTGTTGGTAAGCTGAGGACTAGTTGTGGGGGTATGTCAGAGGACGACCTCGGCAAGCTGTCTGTGATGCTGTTTAACTGCCAGGCAGAGAATGAGGGCAGAAAAACATATCCCTGCACCGAGGATATGGTACATATATTATCAATTCTCTCTCTTTCTCTCTCTCTCTCTCTCTCATATCTGTGTCATAAATGAATAAATTGGAAAATTCATTTTATTAAATTGGGCTTTTGGGTTTAAAGATACATACAAAGTCAATTTTTTTGTCACAAAAACCAACTAAATGCCAGCATATAGTTTCAAGTAGTATAACTAAGAGAATTACCAAAAGACATTGTTTAATTTTACCCGAAAATGATGTTTGAACAGATTTTTCTGCTGGCATTCTAAGCTGTATGTCAATGGGGCTGGAAAGTAGGTCACGTAAGTAGGTTAAATTTACAACCATAAATTTAAAGAAAGGAGCAGTCTAAAGGTATTTTATGGCTGATCGAGTGATCTATTCAGTTTATCCCTTTGCATGTCAAATTTATTTGAGTCATATAAGAATCTAGTAGAAGTGGTTTACATGTGTTACTGGGAATCCACAATCCACCGATGCTCGGTTCGTATGTACCTTTAAGTTAAAAGTAAGTTTAGTTGAGAAGCCCCCCCCTCAGAAATAAAAAAAAGTAAAATAGTAATGATAATAAAGAAAAGTAGAAAAAAACATTTCATTGAATCTGAATAGAAGCTGAGGTACTAAGGACAATTGATTCACTAAATACTGTCATATTTTGAAAAATGTATACAGGGATAGTGTACATTTTATCTTTCTTCAGACTCTTTCAAGTTGCACCAAAGACATGGACTCGACGACATGGAACGCGTATCAAATTGTCAGCAACAGGGCCAGGGCAATATGCTACACTGCTCGACAGCAACAGTTCCGACTTAAAACAGAGTCCACCGTCAACAAACTTGTGACCACCGCCAACATTCAGCTTGACTCAATGAAACAGTTACAGGTAGGGAAGTGGGGTTGTTTTTTTTTTTTTTTGGTCTGACAATTTGTTCTGTGAACTTATCTATCTAATGTTGATGGTGTCTGATTGAGATAGGATTTCAAGATAAACAATTCCTTTAACACCATTTACTCCTTTGTTAAATACAAATATAAGATACATAGAACATTATTCTCTTATTACACGCGACTGAAGAGATTTATATAAGACCATTAGGTGTCATATTGGCTATTTAATAAAAAAATAAACAAACTCTATAAATGTTTTTGAATACTATTCCATTATATGTAGACTTAATCTTAAAGTTTGTTCAAATAAATTAAGATTCTGACCAGTTGTTATACAAGTTGTACTGGACTAGAGAAAGTAGACTTAGGCTTCGTTCACATGCAATGTCTATTTCCTAAATTCTATTTTCTATTCGCGCTATCTTATGATCACGGTCTGTGCACTGAATATCCCGCGGCGTAATTACTGGCAGTGCGAGCCAGTTACTGTAAGTTACTATAAGTAACTGGCTCGCGCTGCCAGTAATTACGCGGCGGGATATTCAGTGCACAGACCGTGATCATAAGACATACCGAAAATAGAAAATAGAATTTAGAAAATAGACATTGCATGTGAACGAAGCCTTAATAGTGCTCTAGTAACCATTAGTGATGTTATCACTGGGAACACTCTAGATACAATTTCAAGTATTTATTAAACTGAACCAAAGTCAGTTATATGTTGTAAATATCCTCAGCTACTGGCTACAGTTTCTACTTTTGATTCTTTAATCCTGGTGACTCTGGCCAAAAAAATGCTTTTGGTACTGTTGAAGATCGAGGTAATGAATGACGCAGTATGTCCTTCACTCTTTAACTGTGACAGTAAATTCTGATTTATGAAATCCACTTATGACATATTTTGTTATGTCCCCCAGGAAGGACAGAAAAAGATTGGTGAGGCCACCACCGACACCTTGAAGAAAATGTACGAAGGACAGCAAGAATTAATGATACGGCAGAACATGCTGAAATCTGCGCAGGCGAATGTGCAGATGTATATTGCGGGGAACTTGCGGGAGCTGACCAGGGAGAAGTCATTAATTGCAGCAGGCAACAAAGAATTGGCTGACATGACGGAAAGAATTAAAATGAAGCTAGGTTAATTCTTTTTCTGTATTTTTCCTAAATCATCTATTTATTTCATGTTAATTAATATGATGTATATTAAAATTTAGGCGAAGCGGCAGTTCCTATGACAGTGTCCAGAAACCTACCTAATGTACACATTTTTACTGCTCCAGTTTGAAGTTTGCTGGTATTTTTGTAAGAAAACAGTACCGATGGCAGACTGCTTGTCTTCAGTTTTCAAGAAAAAAATGTGTCTTCGCTGATTTTTGGCCTTTTTTTCTTTTAGACGAGGCCACCTCTCAACTGAACCGTCAAGAAGGAGAACAGAAGCGGAACCACCTTGAACTGCTGGATGATCTCTCTGATATAAGAAAGAAGGCAGAGGATGTCTGGGAGAAAATAGGTAGTAAAATTTTAAAAATAGGTTGCACAATGTAACTTTTGAAGAAACTTGACATTGGACCAATCTTTCCTCTCAGACAGGTGTTGAAATGTATATTGACATGGCCTTACTCAAATATATCCTTCCGAGTTTTGACAAGCTTTTTGCATTAGAAAAATAAAAGAAAATTAAAGAAAAACTTATTTGTGCGTTAGTGTGTGTGTGTCTGAGTTTTGCCAAGTTTTCTGCATTTGAAAAAGAAAAATAAATAAAAAAAAACACGTATTATTTCAGACGCGAGTGGTCAGCATGTCCTGACCTTCCAGAAGGAGACAGTCAAGCAGTACGAGGCTACCCTGGACAACCTGCGGAGGGTCAACGCCACCATGAACTATGTTCTGACCAAAGTGGACACCATGAAGACGGGACTGGACAAACAGCTGGGATGGTTGTCATCTGTAGTAGGAGAAACTGGTGAAGTCTTGTCTAGATCACAGTTTCTTTAATCACATAAAAATAATAATAATAATAATAATTATTATTATTATTTTCTGGCTGTCTGTTGTTCTCATTTCTTGTTAGACCTTGTTATAACTCACTGAAGTCAAAGAAAATTTGTGAATTATATATCCTTACACAATATGTGGACAGTAATACTTGAAATTTGATTATAAATTTTCCACTCTTTATACTGTTTGATAAGGAGAGGGTCAGATTTGGGTACTTTTGAAGCTGAAGGAGGGTCAATAACCCACGGCGCTCCCCCCTCTTCACCCCTACCTCGCTCCATCATAGCAATAGCTTATATGCTGTTGCAAACATCACATACAGCTTATTAATTTATTTATTTGTTGATTTATTTTGTAATCATTTAATATTACCAGAGGACAGTCTTCATCTGATGGTGACGTGTGTTCTCCATGTGGTATATTTCCTCCTGGCGGCCCTCTCCGCGGCGTTTCTCCAGACCCCGGGGTTCACAAGGGGGGTTCTCCTCACTCTGGTCCCCGTGAATGCTCTGTCAGAGGTGAAGCAGAAGAAAAGTCTGGATTTCTTTACTATGACACTGTTGATACTGCTGACTGTAGGTGGTGAGTGTGCTCACTTTATAATTATAATAATAATAATATAATTTATAATAAATTAATAATGATGTTCATTCGTTCATTGAATGTATTATAATGCAATACATAAAACAGAAATTGGTTTAACATCTCATGTTAAAAAGAGATAAGATAAGACTCATAAAAATAAAAAGAAGAGTTTAAGAGTTGTTGGTTTAAAATTACTAATTTACTATAGAAAAAAGATTGATGGTTTGATAAAAGCTTTTTGAAAGTCATTTGGTTCCTCTTAAAATAAGTCTGCATTTGCTTGGACGAATTATGATATGTTTTGCGTCCTTTACATTTCTGAAAACATTTCTTTTTCGTGAGCATGTGTGCACACATTGTATTTTAGTTGAAAATAAAAGTTACCAATTCCTAAAAAATGTGGAATCCAGTTCCCACCATAATATTATATTTGACTGATGTATCAAAGTTTTAAATATGGCTTGAGAATACTGACGAAAAAGGTTCTACATTATTCAGTCATGGGTATCAGTTTTAAACATTCGTAATGATGATGGTAATGATAATAATGATAATTAATGGACTGTACTACAAGATGGGAGAATTATTCTTCTATTTCAGTGAACTGGTTCTGTAAGTGGGTGTGTTATATGAGGACCGTAAGGAGGTCTGAACTTTGTCAGTGTACTGGAAACTGTTCCTCTGTCCAGTGTCAGGGTCAGACTACACAAGAACACAAGAAGTAAGTTTTATTTATTTATTTTATTTTATTTTATTTTTGTTTATTTATTATTATTATTTTTTTTTTTTTTTGGAATTTTTATTATTATTTTGTAATTTTGTTTTTATTTTTATTAATTTATTTTTTAAATTTTATGAAATTGTTTTTTTATTTATTATTTGATTTTTTAAATAAAATCTTTACATTTTAGCCTAAGATTATTGGATGTTGATATATATTCTATTTCGTTTCTNGGCGGGATATTCAGTGCACAGACCGTGATCATAAGACATACCGAAAATAGAAAATAGAATTTAGAAAATAGACATTGCATGTGAACGAAGCCTTAATAGTGCTCTAGTAACCATTAGTGATGTTATCACTGGGAACACTCTAGATACAATTTCAAGTATTTATTAAACTGAACCAAAGTCAGTTATATGTTGTAAATATCCTCAGCTACTGGCTACAGTTTCTACTTTTGATTCTTTAATCCTGGTGACTCTGGCCAAAAAAATGCTTTTGGTACTGTTGAAGATCGAGGTAATGAATGACGCAGTATGTCCTTCACTCTTTAACTGTGGCAGTAAATTCTGATTTATTAAATCCACTTATCCACATGTTTTGTTATGTCCCCCAGGAAGGACAGAAAAAGATTGGTGAGGCCACCACCGACACCTTGAAGAAAATGTACGAAGGACAGCAAGAATTAATGATACGGCAGAACATGCTGAAGTCTGCCCAGGCGAATGTGCAGATGTACATTGCGGGGAACTTGCGGGAGCTGACCAGGGAGAAGTCCTTAATTGCATCAGGCAACAAAGAATTGGCTGACATGACGGAAAGAATAAAAATGAAGCTAGGTAAATTATTTTTCTGTATTTTTCCTAAATTATCTATTTATTTCATGTTAATTAATATGTTGTATATTAAAATTTAGGCGAAGCGGCAGTTCCTATGACAGTGTCCAGAAACCTAACTAATGTACACATTTTTACTGCTCCAGTTTGAAGTTTGCTGGTATTTTTGTAAGAAAACAGTACCGATGGCAGACTGCTTGTCTTCAGTTTTCAAGAAAAAAAGTGTGTCTTTGCTGATTTTTAGCCTTTTTTTCCTTTAGACGAGGCCACCTCTCAACTGAACCGTCAAGAAGGAGAACAGAAGCGGAACCACCTTGAACTGCTGGATGATCTCTCTGATATCAGGAAGAAGGCAGAGGAGGTCTGGGAGAAAATTGGTAATAAAATTTTTGAATATTTTTTTTGACTCTTAAAAGGGTGTACTTATAATTTTGAACCACAGAGATGTGATATTAAATATGTAATTTGTAATGATTTTGACTTTGATGCTCAATTGTTTTAACATGTTTTCTGTTTGCTTGATGATAACAGTAAGTTTTGTCTGATTTTAATGTTTTTAAAGTCTTAAGGTATCTGTGTGTGTGTGTGTGGGGGGGGGGGGGATAAGTCCATCCTTGTTGTTAAAATGCAAGTTGACTGAAAGGTCTTATTTAAAAGAAAGGCTAATATGGACAACTTTTGAACAAATTTGACATTGGACCAGTCTTTCCTCTCAGAATGTGTTGAAATGTATATTGACATGGCCTTGCTCAAATATATCTGAGTTATGCCAAGCCTTCTGCATTTGAAAAATACAAAGAAAATTAAAGAAAAACTTATTTTGTGTGTGTGTGTCTTAGTCATGCCAAGCCTTCTGCATTTGAAAAATACAAAGAAAATTAAAGAAAAACTTATTTTGTGTGTGTGTGTCTTAGTCATGCCAAGCCTTCTGCATTTGAAAAATACAAAGAAAATTAAAGAAAAACTTATTTTGTGTGTGTGTGTCTTAGTCATGCCAAGCCTTCTGCATTTGAAAAATACAAAGAAAATTAAAGAAAAACTTATTTTGTGTGTGTGTGTCTTAGTCATGCCAAGCCTTCTGCATTTGAAAAATACAAAGAAAATTAAAGAAAAACTTATTTTGTGTGTGTGTGTCTTAGTCATGCCAAGCCTTCTGCATTTGAAAAATACAAAGAAAATTAAAGAAAAACTTATTTTGTGTGTGTGTGTCTTAGTCATGCCAAGCCTTCTGCATTTGAAAAATACAAAGAAAATTAAAGAAAAACTTATTTTGTGTGTGTGTGTCTTAGTCATGCCAAGCCTTCTGCATTTGAAAAATACAAAGAAAATTAAAGAAAAACTTATTTTGTGTGTGTGTGTCTTAGTCATGCCAAGCCTTCTGCATTTGAAAAAGAAAAAAAATTCAATAAAGGACTTATTATTTCAGACGCCAGTGGTCAGCATGTCCTGACCTTCCAGAAGGAGACAGTCAAGCAGTACGAGGCTACCCTGGACAACCTGAGGAGGGTCAACGCCACCATGAACTATGTTCTGACCAAAGTGGACACTATGAAGACTGGACTGGACAAACAGCTGGGATGGTTGTCATCTGTAGTAGGAGAAACTGGTGAAGTCTTGTCTAGATCACAGTTTCTTTAATCACATAATAATAATTATAATAATAATGATTATAATAATAATCTGTCTGTCTGTAGTTCTCATTTCTTGTTAGACCTGGTAACAACTTACTGTTCATTCATCAATTTTGTAAGACTTCAGTATAAGCTACTGGAAATATTGTCAGATATATTCAGTAGCTTATTTGCATATCAGGAGTGGATCCAGATTTATTTTAGATATATAGATATATTTTCTGACTGTCTTTCAAATTATCTTTGTTGAACCATCCTTCATTTTTGACTATTTTCCAACAGAAAACATTAGATACCCGTCAATGTAAACTTAAAAGTTATGACCGTCTTCTAGAAAGAAGACAGCTTCCAACCACCTCTGCATACATCACATACGGCTTCTTAATTAATTAATTATTTAATATTCTTTAATTTATTTAATTATTATCTTCATTTTATATTTCCAGAGGACAGTCTTCATCTGATGGTAACCTGTGTCCTCCATGTGGTATATTTCCTCCTGGCTGCCCTCTCTGCGGCATTTCTCCAGACCCCGGGGTTCACAAGGGGGGTTCTCCTCACTCTGGTCCCTGTGAATGCTCTGTCAGAGGTGAAGCAGAAGAAAAGTCTGGATTTCTTCACAATGACACTGTTGATACTGCTGACTGTAGGTGGTGAGTGTGCTCACTTTATAATTATAATAATAATAATAATAATATAATTTATAATAAATTAATAATGATGTTCATTCGTTCATTGAATGTATTATAATGCCATACATAAAACAGAAATTGGTTTAACATCTCATGTTAAAAAGAGATAAGATAAGACTCATAAAAATAAAAAGAAGAGTTTAAGAGTTGTTGGTTTAAAATTACTAATTTACTATAGAAAAAAGATTGATGGTTTGATAAAAGCTTTTTGAAAGTCATTTGGTTCCTCTTAAAATAAGCCTGCATTTGCTTGGACGAATTATGATATGTTTTGCGTCCTTAACATTTCTGAAACACTTCTTTTTCGTGAGTATGTGTGCACACAGTGTATTTTGGTTGAAAATAAAAATTACCAATTCCTAAAAATGTGGAATCCAGTTCCCACCGTAATATTATGTCTGACTGATCTACACTTGGTATCAAAGTTTTAAATATGGCTTGAGAATACTGACGAAAAAGGTTCTACATTATTCAGTCATGGGTATCAGTTTTAAACATTCGTAATGATGAGGGTAATGATAATAATGATAATTAATGGACTGTACTACAAGATGAGAGAATTATTCTTCTATTTCAGTGAACTGGTTCTGTAAGTGGGTGTGTTATATGAGGACCGTAAGGAGGTCTGGACTTTGTCAGTGTACTGGAAACTGTTCCTCTGTCCAGTGTCAGGGTCAGACTACACAAGAACACAAGAAGTAAGTTTTATTTTATTATTATTATTATTATTATTTATTTATTTATTTTATTTTTTTGTAATAATTATTAATATTTTGTAATTTTGTTTTTAATTTTATTAATTTATTTTTATAATTTATTAAATTGTTTTTTATTTATTAATTGATTTCTTACATAAAATCTTTACCTTTAGCCTAAGATTATTGGATGTTGATATATATCCAATTTTTTTTTTCAATACGTGCCAATGTAGGGTCTGACAAAAGTGACAAAAGATGAATGTTATTATTAAAAACTTAATTTGGAGTTTCACAGCAAACTAGTTTTATTTAATTGACACTTCCATCCAGACCTGCTGCCTTGTCATCTGATAGAGAGAGCAGTTTCACAAATGGATCCTCTCGGGCAATGGACAGACAACACAGAGTTGGTGAGTTTTTTTGGCAATTTTCTACTAGTTAGAATTTGTTTACCGTGAATGCATGTTTGAAAAATACAGCACAGGTACATAGACAAGACAGTTTGAAAGAACATCCTCCCCCCTAAGTCTGAAAAGATTCATTGTGAAAAAAATTTGGTCTAGGGTTTATACCATTTCTAAATGGTTCCAATAAGGGTATTATAAGAATGTTCACTTCTCCAAAAAAAGACCCCCCCCCCCCCCCCCAGATTTGAAATTGCTAGTTACTAGGGAGTTGCAGCAGATTGTTACACACTTGTTGCACATTTTGAAACTGGACAATTTGTTTGAATTCTGCCAAGAATCCAGTTAAGCAGTGTGTCAAATGCTCAGCTAAAACCTAAAGAAATAAAAAATTGATCCACTTAATTTGTTCTAGATAAAGGAAACTACATAAAGAAATTAAAGTGATATTTTATAAGTGCCAAGATCAGCATGTTGAGGAAAAAATCAGATAAAAACATTTTTACAATTATCTTCCAGACCATTACCTGAACACCAGTACATCTAGTGTGTTGGACACCCCAAGAACCAGTAGGGCATCCACCCCCAGGAGGACTACACCCCTTTTGGCCACCCCCTCAGTTCTCCCGGCCACCCCCTCAGTTCTTCCAGCCACCCCCATGCCTGACCAGGAAGCCTCCTTTACTGCGGCTGAGACGCCAAGACTGGTAGGTTGATGTTGTCAGAGTTGCTGTGGTAATGGTTTCGCATATACTTTCAGCAGTATCATTTAAAAGTAATAGCTCCACCTCGCACGGATTCTCAGACTTTTTTATCGCTATATGGCGTTTTAATGAGCTATCTTGGACAATTTTCATTGGCACATTTGTGAATAAAATCAACATATTTTATCAAGTTGACTCTTTATAATCTTTTGAGGTCAACTGATATTATCACAGTGAGTCTATTTGCAGATTCGTTATTAGAAAATAGCTCATATTTCTCGTCACGTTACAGCTTGAAGTGAGTCAGGTAAAGCGCCATCTACTGGACACCTTGGACGGGAGATCTACAAGCCGTCGACGGCGTTCACGAAGTCGTAGTAGGACGCCATTAAAAGTGACTGACGGGTAATTTTGTTCACTATATTGTAGTTTTGATTAAATTAAAATGCTGTGGTTATCTTTATGCGAGGTCCGTTTGTGCTAAAAAAATTCTTAGCAAGCGACTGATGGGTACTTTTCTTTACTAAACTTAAAGTGTAGTTTTGATTGTGCTAAAATATTGGCAAATTTGATGAGAGATCTGTGCTGAAAATTTTTTTTAGTATGATATCGTTTAGAACAAAGAGCCTAAGAGTGTTCTAGACCCAAGTAGTTCTAATGATCAATAAAGGAACAAATTTACAACAATATTACTTTCCTGCCTTCAAGTTTACTAGCTGCTAATGTCGTGGAGTAGAATACATTGTATGACAGCCACAGAAAACTACCCTGAGTGTCGGGGCACTATAAAGCCAGCTTGCTCTCTATACCTTTTCACGTGTTAGATTTACAGTGTCGGTATTGCCGATGCGGGTCATATATGACATCCAGAACGAGCTGGCAATACCGAAATTCAGAACCTAGGGTACAGTAAAACAAATGATTACCAATAAAACATAATTCTTATACATTGGTTCCATTTCAGTATCAGTGGCACCAGCACCCCAGCCCGTCCTCTGTGCCTGGGCACCACAAAGACAGGTCAACCCTGTAAGCTGGCGTGTACTCATGGTAAAGACTTCTGTCACAGACATTCACCAAAAGATGGCGCCAAGTAACAGGACGGTACTGCTAGGATTTTTGACACACTAGAATACAAATCTGGAAGAGGTCGTATATTCAAGAGAAGGACAGTTTTGAAGGTCATGAACAGAAAGTTGATTGGTCAAGTTGAAATGCTATAGACTGAGTATTATTTTCCAGTTGAATTATTGCAATACGCCTTAAAATTTTTTATTTTATTTTTACCAAATATTCTGTTATTTAGTTATGACATGAGAATTAGCGTCTGATGGCCAATGTGGAAAAAAAACCTTTGTGCCGAAAGATGGTCAGAAATAATAGAGTAATATAGAAGTCTGATTTTAATTTTCCCCGAAAGGAATTGATAATTTTACTTTAAAACGAGAATGTGATAACTGACTAACGTTGTGGTCACTTTTCTCTTGATATATTAAGGTGCTTTGTGGGTAAGAGTGAACACGTGGAATCTGTTTCATTGCTTGGTGCTACGGGCGTATTCCCTGGAAGCGGACCTTTATTAATTCATTTATATTTGTTCTTATTTATGCATAATTCATTTAATCGGCTGCAATATATTCTAGTGCAATAAGCATGTTATTATCTCCGTGTTTATGCGCTTGTGAGTGATTAAGTGCATGCCTGCCTGTGTGAAAGAATCTCGTGTGTATGTGTGCGTACGTGGACATGCACTGCGAGAGAGAGGTAAGAGAACGAAGCCAATTTTTGACCGCCGTGGATGCTGTTCCACCAATCAGTTTTCAGCAATTAACCGCAATACTGCAAAAAGCTGCTCCGTTTTCATATTGTCAAATTCATTGCGCATACATTGATAACTCGGTGTAATAAGTCAGGAAGGAAGGGAATAGATGCCGTTTTATATTACGTGTTTTTTCAGCCATAGCGGACCTCAATTCCTGTCTCCCCGGCACACCACAAGGCAGAAAAATATATGAGACATCCATTCGGCCTTTTTTTAATCACTCGTGGTATCACGCTCCCCGTGCCTCCTTGTGATGTATCTCTTACACACCTTATGCATTGAGTTGTCATGTATTATATCATGTTGTCATCTCTCTGTTCGTGGGTCGGCGGCGCTTTTTAGCAGAATCGATACCACTATCATGTTAACTATAAATCTTACTGGATGCGTTTATTCAAGTCATATATGTATACTTATGTTAAACAATTTGTTACTTTTATTTATTTTACTGAATAAAGATCTTGTAGCTTGTTTAGAGTTTTATTGGTCTTTAATGGGACAAATAAATAAGGACGTTTACGACTACCTGGATCTTTACAGTGATCAGTTAAACCTAGATTACATTTGAAATGCAATGCCCGTACGGTGCACGTATACTGCCTGCAATTCCCGTATCGAGCGGAGGTAGACGGTGGCTGTGCGAAATCGTATGGAATCTTTCGGATTTAAGGCCATGTAATGTAGACATACTCGGCGTAGCCCGTAGCTCCTTACGATAAAAAAAAAATCGCACGGACAATTTCATCGCACGTCGCCCGTGTAAATGTAATCTAGGCTTTAATCTGCCCCGTAATTTTTTAGGTGGGCACATGATCATTAATGGCATATAATGATATTCATTACATCCCATGCAGTGCGTGTTCTGGTTAAAATGTACACTGACAAAAATATGCAACTGTAAAGACACTCCGAATTCAAGTCAGTGCAGCTACGCCCTGGTCGATTCTAAGCTGGCCCATTCTGGTTCTCTTCAGAAAATGTTATAAAAACCCGCCCAGGAGTAGTAAGCTACGCTGTTAACTAACAAACAATAGAGGTAAAGGATGACCCCCATGCAATATTTGAGAATAATTTCCCTTCAGTGATTGGTGAATGACTGACCTTAGGAGAGGAGATATATCTTCCGGGGGAAAAAAATCGTTATTTTAGGCTAGGACTGAAGACTTTTATGCAAGTGGTGAAAGCATGCGTAGAAAGCGACGCTTCCTGAAAATACCAAAGTGATGCATTTGGAACATGACCACCGCAAATAATGCCTACGTTCTATTTTGATAAATCATGGATGACAATCTGAGTTGGCGGAGCGTCTCTAAATTTGTTTAGGGAGAATGGAAGACTGGTTGTTTCGTGTCATGGGAATTACAAAATAGACACACAAGACACTTAGTTTTCTGAAAGACGAGTGTTTTTTTTTTTTTTTTTCAACCGAGTTGAAAACGAAATAAGTGTTGGCACAAGTAGATTGATGATTTTTCTAGCATTGCTATTACGACCTTTGTACCGTTTTTCTTTTTTTTTTTTTCATTTTTTTTTTTTTTTGAAAGATATTGTTTTATAATATTTATCAAAAGTTAACGATTTGTTCACGGATATTTTAGAGGATTGGTTCAGAGGCAAAGGGCAGGTAGGCTAATATTTCAAAATATTAAGTTTTGATAGCATTCACGATGTTTTCCTCTCAAACACTTCACTAAGTTGCAAAATACCTCACTTTGCAACCTTTTCTCCCCAAACATGTCATGGGGGGGGGGGGGGGGCGCTTTTCCAAAATCTCATGCTGATGTTGTCACTGCTGCATAATAAAGTGAAAGTCATTGACGTACCACACGTACATTGCTTTCCGCATTGTAAACTCATTTCCAGCGCCCTTGATTTAGCTTTGAAGCATCAGGCCGCGCTAAACAAAAACCAATTACAAATTCAATCAGCTAAATGCACAATAAGCAGTGATCTCGGAAGAACGCGTTTCCGGATCACTTGAAATGAACGCACACTGCATTACTAATGTTAAACTCGGCAGAGACGCTGTTTGTAACAGGACAATCTGGTATGTTCTTGACATGAGATACAGGTTTAAGGCACAGTTAGGACACAAAGGGGGGAATTGTGTATTAGTAATTTTAACAAAGTAGACTGTTTTCACGATGTACTAGGTGTCTGTGATTATGGGATTCTATGAATATTTGCCAGCATAACGGGAGAAAGTACGTGTATGCAAACCATATGAAAACACAGGCGAAACATTTTATAACTACAGTAGATCGTGCATGCATTTAGGTATATGAAATAATTACTCCGTGCGGCTTGTAAAGGGATTGGTTCTTTTTTTTAAAGTAAATTAGTTAAATTAATATATATATAAAGTCAGCTGTTTTCGAGCTCGAGCTTCAGATTAATTTGTACACACGAATGTCCATATTAAGGACGTTTTCTCACGTGTGCAGCAATGTACATTTAGCATATTGAAAGTCCTGTATCCTTAAATTGTACCTGAAAATAACTACGGAAATTAAGATTTGCCGTTTGCAATGGGCACAGTGAAATTGTACTGATGACAGCCTTGTAATGTTCATATAGGAACGACGAGAGAGAGCAGCGTTCTAGGAATGTCACAGTCGTTCACGAGGAAAGGGTAGGTGATGACACCGTAAACATTTAAAGGGCAAAGAATGACACATCGTTTACAGAAACAGTATCCGTTCGTGCAAGGAATTATTTAGTTATGGTTTACCACGTTGTATGTGATGGATGAATTAGTGTTAGACTAATTAGAGGAACGCTGATGTTGACGTTAGAATTCTTTTAAGAATGTTCCTGGATGCTCCCATGGGAACTGTTCTGTGACGCGGTGATATACCACAGGCCACGACAGCCGCACACCCACACGTGAGTTCTTGGAAACAAAAACAAACTTTGACGCGGAAAACACAGACTAGCTACATGTCAGGGTTCTAAATTTGAGCTTGTTGGCGCAAGAAGCAATTATACAAATAGGACATAAGATAAACGTTCTCAATTGATGCGGAGAAAGGCATCAGATAATGTATTAATGTAGTGGGTTTGAGGAAGAGTACAAAACTTGCTTTCTCAAACAGCGTGAATAGATTCGACTTGTACGAACGTCCCTGGGAGAGAAAGAAGAGAACGCGTTGTTATCATTTGGGAATTATCAGATATCTCATTTTCAGTCTTCAGTTGATGACTAAAAGAACAGCTCCGTGGTATAAGGTGCGATTAGTCAAATCTACGAGTCAGGTATCCTGCCGGGTTTCGTCAGTTCTGGATTGTAAGGTAGACGAAAACTAGGCGACTGTTGGACAAATCGAGTATTAGTGAAAGGTGTTGGAGAAAAAAAAGACATAAAGAATTTCGGTCACTTGAGAGAAAACAGAGAGGAAGATAAAACCGTGGGAATAATGGCGTTGAACTTCTCGGGATCGGTGTTTTCTAACCAGACAAATACGTCAGAGGAGGCGGAGGAACTTTATGCCCAGCTGCTTGCCTTTGCGCGCGTGGCAATGGTACCGACGTCTTTCATAGGCCTCGTTGGAAATATCTTGAACCTGATCATTCTGAACAGAGCTGCTGTGAAAGACTTGTCTGTCTCAGTCTACCTGACCGGGTTAGCCATTGGAGACCTGCTGTACTGTTTGGACATTTTCCGTTGGTACCTTGAGTGGTCCGGGATCCTACCACAGCATTATAACTACGACATGTACTGTAAAACAATGAACTTTATTGGCTATTTTTCGACGGGTTTGTCGCATTGGATGATATTCTGCGTGTCTTTGGAGAGAATGATTATGGTGACCTTCCCTTTCAAAGCGAAGTCGTTATGTACGGTGCCCAAGGCGCGCGCGGTCGTCTGTTTTTTCGCCCTAACAATGGCGTCTTGTGTCTCCATCAACTTTGTTTTCGTTACACAGATTCACGGAGTTGACGACACTTGGATATGCTGGACTAGAAATGAAGACACTTTAGGAAATTTGCTGTTTAATATCTTCCGACTCATCTTCGAATTGCCACCTGTGGTTTTCGTCCTCGTGCTCAACTTTGTCACCATTGTGTTTTTCTTTCGAAGCAGAGCCAAGTCGACGTTAGCGTCCAGTTCTATGAAAGTCTCCCACAGAACCACGGATTATGAAAGGAAACTCACAGTAACCCTCACGGCTACTGGACTTGTCTTCGTAATTCTAGAGCTACCTTATCTGATAATGCTGCTGCTTACGCATCTCTATGGCAACGGCCCAAAACTGATCGCAGTTTCAAATATCTGCAAGCTTCTCAGCGGCATCGACCATGCTTGTAACTTCTTTATATACATCCTAGGAGCGCCCCTGATGAGGAGGGAGTTTACCGCAATGATGCGGAAGATTTGTCCCAAACGCCAAGACGAGGCTACGTCTCCTCCGGTGGCCAAGTTGAGTCAGGCGTCGCCCAGCCGACCATCACCGTCCAGTGACGGTCAAGAAAACGATAGCACAGATATGACGCTTTATTCCATCACACCGATTCCTTAGAATGTGTAATGATATATTACTACATTATTTATGGTTGTTATCTTAGTGTAAAATGTGTTTCGTTTGGACAAGAAACGATTCAGGAGATACGTCATTAAAACCAGGCTATGATAAATAATTTTGACTAAAGACCTAGTTATATTTCCTAATTCCATTACAAAGTTGGAATGGCCTGTTTTTTTCATCTATGCAGGTGGACATACTTCACTTACGAGGACTTTTTCTACATTTACATACAGTTTGATGTTATCACCATTTGAATTCTCCAATGTTGTGTGGCGTGTAGCATCGTAAACAGCGGAATATAGAGCAATGGAACAATGATCGTTTTATCATAGACGTTATCATAAAACTTTGACTAAGAACATGAAAGTTTACAATGCATGGGAATACGTGGGAAAATTGGCCTTATTGTATTTTTTTTAGGAAAACTAGACACAAATTTTGGATTAATTTGCCAGGAAAGATTGTCTACTTTGTAACATGTTTTTTTTTTTTTATTTTTAAAACGTGATAATTCAATCTTGTCAGCGTTGTGTAAAATCTTTTTATTGTTCAAATGTTTCATACATTGTTACATTTTCAAAAAATAATGTAGCTGAAATTTCAAACGATTGAAGATAGAAACAACATAATTGCAATAACTTTGCATTTGATAATATAACACCCAAACAATCGTGGTGATTTGCACTCATTTTTTAATCAAATCCAGAAATTGTTGATCGAGTTTACGTTTGTTGGGCAATTGATGTATTTTCTAATATATTTTGTTTTGTAGTAAATCGTTAACATTTTTTCAATGTATGTTGACAATACCGCTGTAGTCACCTATGACACAGACAGAGTTTGACTGAGGGGGCGTAAGGATAGATATATACAATAATAAATGAGGACAATTACGTACCAGTTACAACACTAGTCGCCCACTGTATGCGGCACACAAGAGCGTGATTATATCGAGGCGAAATTATACCACTGTTGGCGCTTCGAACAACAGGATAAACGCACCGAAAATACAGGCAAGCCTGTATGAGAAATACATGTGCAATTTTCCTATTGTTTGGAGTGCCAGCCGTGGTATAATGTAATAGATAGATCCCCGGTAAGGATATTTTATGGTTTATCTAGAGAACTGTTTAATAAATTTTGCGAACTGATCAACTACATAACCTAGTCCAGACGTTCGCCAGCACATGGAAACTGCCATATTACCTCCTAAATTCAATCTTCCAGTATCATTGTCTCATTGTCAGGCAATAGTCTCTCTGGGAGTGAGCTATTGTCAACGTTATCTGGCAACCGAAGGCAATGGCATGTTCCGAAAACCAAGATTGATTTTGTGGCGAGAGTGAAACAATGTACTTGCAGTTTGGAAATTTAACCGGCAAGATCGCCTTATTGCCTGTGTTCCTATCACTCGGGCATCTGCTTGCGAGGCTTTTGCCTGACCATATATACAACATTACAGGACTTGAAGACCCAATCAAGGTTCCCATAGCAACCAACGTATGACGTAACTTTCGCGGATAGTTGTGGGGTAATGATCCAATTGAGTTCTGGAATCTCACAAGGTCGGCAACAGAATGTATTAAAGTACAGTATTATGTGGATATTGGAATGTATTCTTTGCCTGTAAACTAGCTCTTGGACCAGTATCACAAAATATGCCATGCTTTAGTCTTTTTTAAGCTGTTACAACAGAAATAATAGAACGTAGAAACAACAATTAGAAAGCCCCCTGTACGCAGCGTTTAATAAGTGAAATCTGTAAGCGTTCTCAAATCATCACATTATTTATCTACAGAAACATACCCAAATACGCCAGGCTGTTTCTTTAAGCAAACCAATTAACTGTGATTCATTATAATAAACAACTTTCGGGCCAGGGAGGTTCGGGGGGGGGGGGGGGTTCGAAAGAACCCTCCTTTTTGCTGGGAAACCGTTCTCTCTGGGTAATATTTTATATAGGTACATGAAAGTTAAAAGTTGTAAGGTCCAATCTTTCAAAAAAAAAAAAAAAAAAAAAAAATGCTGGCCACAGGCGGGTGCTTACGTTTAGACATTTGAGGTAGGGTACACGTGGGACTAGAAATCGTTAAGGAATAGGAGCAATCAGATGATGTTGAGAATGTTTTTCATCTTCTTAATGAATGAGCATGTTTTGTAAAATGATGTATGAATAATTTATACTCATGCACCGATCATTAAGTGGATTGCGCCAGAATGGATACAATTCATACGGGTGATTTTATTTATATCTTGTTTTACCCCCATTAGGGGAATCAGGTTAATACGTGTAAGGTAGATTATTCACTGAAGTATGTGATCAACTCCCAGTTTGATATCCCCCTTGATGCTGTGCTGATTAATTCCGAACGTTAAAACCATGGACATGCAATTAGGTGAACAAAATGAGTCATACAGAGACTCTGTTGGTGCCGGAGATTAGAAAGAGAATGAATACGTAATTCTGTCTCTTGCCACACCCTGCGCTATTTTGATGAAAACGGTATTAGCTTCATCCCTGGAGGAAGTACTCGATTTAATTGCGATTACCCGTCGAAGTCAATTAGTGGGGGTTTCGTATTCTATCTGTGACCGCATTCAGTGGCGGTTTTAGCAGAACCCCGAAATAAAGCAGTCGGTTTGATTGCAATTAAGCGGTTATTTATTGGTTATGTTTTTCATGGCTTGTTACGCTGACCAGATATCAGAGGTTTTAGATTTAAAAGTCATGCTCTGCTTCAATTCTGGATAAAGGCATTTAAATATAGAAACTATTGAGCTAAAATATTGCCCGCTTTTATAAAAAGCGATTCAAGTGGCCTACTGTAGTCAGTGAGTTATCATTTTTGTCTTCATGTGAAAGGCATGTGTGTACAACATGCGACTTCATGCCGTTAATTGGCAAGATTTTTAGAAATCTCTGTAGAGTTACTTGACTATCTTTCGAGAGTTAAGTCAAATATGAGAGATATTTACATCTTAGCGAAAGGAATCGCGTTAAGCATTCCAAGTACTTTCAAACATCGCACCGTCTTTCATAATACAAGAATCGTAAGAGACCGTTTTCGATATGGTACACTACACTTTTTCACTCAATGACACATACATTGTACTTTAAATAATTCTGCCAGAACTTATCGGGACGTTGAGAAGCAATTTCCGGACGTTTCTATGGTAATTCAGTCGGGACAGTTCCGCTTAGCAGCATACAAATGGACATATTACATAAGCCCCATAGTTAGTATTATTGCTGTCTCACTTGTGCCATCTGTGCAGTAGTAGTGCGAGTGGGCGTTGGTTTGGTAACTTACGGACGTTATTCGCCTAGGGCCGTTATACAGCAAAACTCTTGAAGGGATTACAACTGTACGCTTTGGCAAAAAAAAAAAAATAAATAAATAAATAAATAAATAAATAAATAAATAAATAAATAAATAAATAATAACAACAACAACAACAACAACAACAACAACAATAATAATAATAATAAATAAATAAATAAATAAATAAAATGGATTTTCCTGGGTTAAACGACGATTTTCCTAAACTTACCAATGCTTAATGAATCCATTCCGACATTCAAAGTTTATGTTTTTTTCTTAAGAGGTTATGACGGAGGAGACATCTACGAAGGTCTACGTGGTCTGACTGCAAGCACAGAATAATTGCCATAACCGTCGTTTTGGCGGTAAAATAGAAATGATTATATTCCAGTGTGTTGTTTACAGTGTGAAATATGAATCTCGTGCGAACAGTTGTTTTCTCTCTGAACAACAAAGAAAAAACAATTAAAAAAATACTGGAAAGAGGAAACAAGTAATTAGTTACAAAATAACTGATAAATCTGCCCCTTTTATTTAAATACATGTGGCCCCCAAAAGAGACACATACATTGCTACATACATTTTAGAAGTATCTTCTATCCACTTGATTTGAGCATGTCCTTTAATATAAACCACGGCTTCCGTTTTAAGAATTATAATATTTACAGCATTTCTTACATTTGGAACGAATATCACCAAAAAATGGTGTTTTTTAAAATTAAAACTAAGGTCAGTTCCCTAAGGCGGAGATGACGGTCTCCCCCTGCATGCCACATTAGACGACCAGTCACAGCGATCTCTGGCCTCGGAATACAGCAGGCCATTGGGGCACGTTCTATGTCTGTAGATGAGATAATTTTCACACGATAAGAACTCTGCACAGTTAGTTGGCTCCTCAAAGTTGCCATTGGGATGGTCGCAAAGGGGGTCAGCTGGAAGACAAGATCAGTCGTAAGGTTAATGTTTCACGTGTTTTTTTCTTTTTTTTTTTTTTTTTCAGAATGCAAATGCTAAAAGTGTTTGTTAATGAAAAAAGAGCCATGCATTTACAATCGTTTTATGAAAAGTTCTCAGTCAAAGTTGCTAATACCACACTCCTTCAGACAAATAGGTATATTGATTAACATACAGACTTGACATTTAATATGGAATATTTCAGTTTCGAAGGTATACCTAGGTAAAAATACGTTTTCTTTTCAAAATACTCCGATCTCATATAAGATTTATGAATGTAAAAGTGTGCAGTCAGGTGTGTCACTACCAATTAACTGACTTTCATGCCTGTTGCGCTGCTACATTATGTAATTTGCAGTGATTTAATTGGGTAGTGTTCCTTTGGGCGNCAAAGACCAATTACAAATTCAATCAGCTAAATGCACAATAAGCAGTGATCTCGGAAGAACGCGTTTCCGGATCACTTGAAATGAACGCACGCTGCATTACTAATGTTAAACTCGGCAGAGACGCTGTTTGTAACAGGACAATCTGGTATGTTCTTGACATGAGATACAGGTTTAAGGCGCAGTTAGGACACAAAGGGGGGAATTGTGTATTAGTAATTTTAACAAAGTAGACTGTTTTCACGATGTACTAGGTTTCTGTGATTATGGGATTCTATGAATATTTGCCAGCATAACGGGAGAAAGTACGTGTATGCAAACCATATGAAAACACAGGCGAAACATTTTATAACTACAATAGATCGTGCA